CCCTACCATGTAAGCCAGGAGTTATTGGACTAAAAAAGATATGTCAACAACTGCTTTTGTCAACAACAACTGCTTTTCGCGGATGATGTGGTTCTGTTGGCTTCTTCGGGTGAAGGCCTCCAGCTCGCACTGGAACGGTTCACAGCCGAGTGTGAAGCAGCGGGAATGAGGATCAGCACCTCCAAATCTGAGGCCATGGTTCTCAGCCGGAAAAGGGTGGAGTGCCCACTCCAGGTCAGGACAAGTTCCTGCCCCAAGTGGAGGAGTTCAAGTATCTCGGGGTCTTGTTCGCGAGTGATGGGAGAAGGGAGCCGGAGATCGACAGACGGATTGGTGCGGCGGCTGCAGTGATGCGGACGCTACACCGGTCCATCGTGGTGAAGAGGGAGCTGAGTGTAAAAGCAAAGCTCTCAATTTACCGGTCGATCTACGTCCCTACCCTCACCTATGGCCACGAGCTGTGGGTAGTGACCGAAAGAACGAAATCGCGGATACAAGCGGCAGAAATGAGCTTCCTCCGAAGGGTGGCTGGCCTCTCCCTTAGAGATACGGTTAGAAGTTTGGCCATCCGGGAGGGGCTCAGAGTAGAGCCGCTGCTGCTCCACATCGAAAGGAGCCAGCTGAGGTGGTTTGGGCATCTGACAAGGATGCCTCCTGGGGTTGGTGTTCCGGGCATGTCCCACCGGGAGGAGGCCCCGGGGCAGACCCAGGACACGCTGGAGAGATTATATCTCTCGGCTGGCCTGGGAACGCCTTGGTGTTCCCCCGGATAAGCTGGAGGAGGTGGCTGGGGAGAGGGAGTTCTGGGCTTCTCTGCTTAGGCTGCTGCCCCTGCGACCCGGCCCCCGATAAAGCGGATGAAGATGGATGGATGGATGGAGATATGTCAACACTTCTGGATTTGTATGTTTCAGCAGAAGTGAGAGCAGCTCTAGCACATGTGACGACATCATCAGATGTATCTTTGTCCTCTGGTTGATAATCTATTGTCCTCAGAAAGATGGTCAATTATATTGCTATGCTTTTTGTGTCCTCTCATCTTTAGCAAAGATACGATCAAGAGTTTGGCTTATTGTAAATCTTCTTATTTTTGTATGCTACAAACTGGAGATGTGTACTCTCTCTCTGATAGTGTGGGAGAGCTCAGAGTGTGTTTATGATTTCAGTTTTAGCACTAAAACCGAAATCATAAAACATTTTAGTTTTATAGTCTTATATTATAACTGTGTCGAAACCAACCCCAACACACAAAGGTCATCATTTTCACCAGAACTTTTTATAATTTAGTTAAATTCAGTTTTTTGTTTTGTTTTGTTTAAATGGAGATTCCTGACAAAGTCTAATGTCTTGTTGAAATAAACAAATTTAATATCCACTTTTATGCATTTAAAACCTAAAAACGGGCCACTGCCGACCCTAATGCAAGAGGAAGGTTAAGTATTTTGGAGCAAAGTTTTACCAGTTTTTTGAAGGTCTTTCAAAGTTTTTCCTTGGACATTGTCTGCTTTGTCACTTCTTTCCAGTCCAGCCCTTGCACTTGACCACTTCAGAGAAGTGTTTTTCTTTTGTGTTGGTTTATTAAGCCACTTTACATTTATCCTTGTCCTTCAGACAAAAAAGCCTATCTACAAATGACAGATAACCTAGCAAAGAGCCAATTTTAAACTGTTGTTACAAGCACACTATCACAAAAACACAGAATTTGTTCCCAGTATAGGTATAGAATATAGAAAACAATGATTCCCAAAGAGCTATTAGCTGGAAACTTGGTGAACGGAATATCAGAAACGGAATATCAGAAATGGTCTCAGTTGTGACTGTCAAGAAGCCCTCCTTAAGGTAAATGAGAAGGAAAGGCTGAGATAAGCGAAATTGCATAAGAACTGAAAATCAGTGGCAGCAGGTTTTTATCAGTATTGTAAAGTGCCATATTTTGATCAAACCATGCAGTACTATCTGGAAAGTGTCTGACTGGCTGCACAGCTCTAAACACAACAAAAGGCAGTCAAGGTCCAAAGAAGAGATTTGGATTTCCTTCAAGAAGCCTAGAGAACTATTTCTTGAAGACATTACCTGAAGGCTTGCATAAGCGAGTTCAGTCTATGTTGAATAAAGATGGTCATGCAATCTTGATTTTCCGATTTGCTTCTGTAGTGTATTTCCATGTATGTTTGCAACAATTTCCCATTCTCCTAGCAAAATATACAGAAATTAGGGTCATTTGAGACTTTGTCACAGGACTGTAGTTGAGTAATAATTCAGTACTCAAACTACTTAGACCAAAATATCTATAAAGAGTCAAAATGACATGCCTAATTATGAAAAGATGCATGTCATTGGCATTAAATTACAATCAATTCAAAGCTTTTAATGATAATGTTCAAATTTTTCTAACATGCACATATTTCTGAGCTCACACAACTTTCCAATGTCCTCAATGCACCAGTTGCAGGACAAGTAGACTGACAAATAGGTGTGTTGGTATATTTTCCAAGTATGTTAGTTATATGAAATCATGGTATCTTTGTGTATTTTATTGAGCAGACTAACATGCAGACACGTACACATTCTGCTTTTCAGAAACGTGCCTGTGTTACTTGTAGTACTAATCGGGACCAGGACACAGTGAATAATTAACTTCTTATCCTTGGTTCCGATCTGTCTCTGTGGGTGAATAAGATAGTGGTTGTGATGGTGAGAAGTCAACACATGGGTGCACACAGAATATCAGAAATCTACTATGTAAACAGATATGTGAATAACCAGGTTTCTCCTGCTCCATTTGATACACATGCTGATTTTATAGGTCACATATCCAGTCATTAAAAAAAGAAAACCCACTGGTGATATTTTTCATACACTGTCCTGGTGCTCTTTTCACCCACTAACATGCACCTGATAAACAGCTTAAGAGCTTTAACAAATACAAATACACCATGCACTCAGGTTTGAGTGATGCTTGCTGAAAATTAGGGACGACTAACAGTGTCATTACTAATATATCTGCCCGATACTTTCTCAGGTATTTTGGGTGATCTGTAATAGAGCTAAAGGCCCCAAAGACTCACTTTACTATCAGGAAACCAGCAAATATTCACCTTAACTGAAACCAGTCAACTTAGAGAATTTTACTTAAAAAAAGAAAGAAAAAAAAAAGATTTAAGTCACTATTTAATCATTAAATCTGTTGCTGATTGACTAACTATTGATTTAACTATACAGGGAGTGCAGAATTATTAGGCAAGTTGTATTTTTGAGGAATAATATTATTATTGAACAACAACCATGTTCTCAATGAACCCAAAAAACTCATTAATATCAAAGCTGAATGTT